CGGGGCGCGCGGACGCAGAGCCGGACGGGCCGCAGGAGGCTCGCGGGGGCCGACGCAGATGCTGCGCTGCAGGCCCAGCGCTGGGCGCGGGTGGTCTGCAGGGCCCACGGGCACCGCCTCCACCCGAGCGCGATCGAGCCGAGAAAAAAGGAAATGAGAGCCTGAGCTCCGCCTCCCGGAAACGGCCCTGCTGAAATAGTAAAGCCTCCCTCCCGTCCGGCCCCGCGGCAGCAGGCGGGGCCGATGGGCAGGTCGCGGGGCTAGGCCCCGTGAGGAGTTGCACGGACTGCGCGCCCTGAAGGGCGACTCCGCGGACAGCGGCCGCCTCCCAGAGACGGGCGACCCCCTCGTTTTTCCCCGGGAGCATTCAGTCTAGGTCCCAGCCCCGCCTCCCTCCCCGCGGCCTAGGAGATGGGGGCGGGGGACTCCGCCGCTCCCCGCCCCACCCCCGCGGTTGCCAAGGCAACGTCCGGACGCGCCAGCCCGCGCGCGCCGCCTGCTGCCGGGGAGCGGAGAGCTGGCGGGAAGCGCGCCTTCAGAGTCCGGCCTCTGGCCATGGCTTCGCTACGCACTGCCAAGGCGTGGGTGAAGAGCTACTTCAAGGAGAACTACATTCCCCAGGTCTGCGAGGTACTGGAGCCACGTGGCGGCGGACACAGATCGATTGTGAGAAGAGAGAGGAGTCGGGGAACCCTTCCTGCTTGGGCGTGGTGTGGAGGGAAGGAGGAGCGGAATAGGAGAGGATGAGGTCCACTTTGGACAAGTCAGTGGTCTGGGCTAAAGATACAGATCCGAGAAGAGAAGACAGGGGCGATGATGACTGAGAGGAGGAGTGGGTGCCATCTCCCAGGGAGAAAAGAGCGGAGTGAGCACAGGGCCCAAGACGGAAACCCCAAACTCCAGCTTTTATGATTTGAACTAGAGATGCCTGCAGGAGATAGAGAAAAGTGCCAGAGAGTGGGGAAGAAAATCAGGAGAGTGGAGTTTCTATGAAGGGAGTGTTTTAATAAGAAGTGGGTAATAGTGTCACCTGAGATAAGGACCTGAAGGAGTTCCATGGATCCGGCCCAAGGTGAGCCTAGGGAGAGTGGTTTCAGTGGAGAGATGAGTGGAGAAGACAGTTTAACGTTAGCTGAGGAGACAGTGGAAGCTGAGACCTTTAGACAGAATGTAGCCAGCCGTTTGTGAAAGGAAGGACCCCACAACCAGGATTGACTTTAGACAGGAGGAAGGACTCCCCTCATCTCCTTTTCCCCCCATTATAACAGGACGGAAGAACAGGGTGGGGGTAGATGGGTGAGTTTTACAGGCTTGGTAGGAAGTTGAGAAAGTTCTCCAGTGGCTTCTATTTTCCCTGCAAATAGTTGGTGAGATCATTTGCAAAGAATGTGTGTGTTTGGATGGGGATGGGGGTTGCAATAGGAGGTTTGAGTTACTGTGGGGCATGAGGGAGAGATGTCTAGAGAAGGCAGCAAGAGCAGGGCAGTGTTGAGAACCCCACAGGGGGCAGTAGTAATTCTTTACAGTTGGGAGAGTATTTTGTTACACCCTCCCCCTTTTTGGATGGTAATTTAGAAGTATTTATTAAATTGTTAAATGCATATCTTTTGACCAATCATTTCCACTTCTAAAGATCTAATCTGCTTCGGAGAAATACTTGCAGATGTGCTCAGGGAGAGACACATAGAAGGATATTCATTATAACATTGTTACATAGTGAAAATAATAACTAACCTAAATGTAAATAAGGGGATGAGATATTTTGTAGAAGGCAGTATATCTGTATTGAGAAGAAAACATCACCAAGAAATATTAAGAAAAAAAGGCAAGTTGCCCAACAAAGGGTCTACTATAATTCTAGCTTTCCATATTCATATATGTATATACGTGTGTATATATGTATATGTGTTTGTATATGTTTATGTGTATATCTATATTTAAGGTAATAATACATGCATAGAAATAATACATGTATAGAACATATACTAAGCTGTTAACAACAGGTGCTTTTGGGAATGGTTTTAGGGAGGGGATGGAGAATTCTTTTTTACTCTATGTATAGCTGTATTGTTTTAATTTTTCATTATGAGTTTCATTCATGTTTTACCTCTGCAAAGTTATATTTGAAAATATGTAGAAAGTGTGGTACCCATATTCCCAGTTGTATGATTTTCTCAAGCACTTAGTAAGCCAGATGTAGGAACAGAAACAACAGGGTTGATTTCATCCAGGATTGGAGTTTGCCAGGCACATAGAATGGAAGGGCAATGGGTAAGGGAGCTGAAGCTCTTGAAAGTGCCTGAAATGATAGGCCAGGGACTTCAAGGACTAGGTGGGAAACGAGAACAAGAGGGACATTATACAAATATATGAATAGAAAGTGGAGGTTCCTAGGAGATGAGTGAAGAGGAGGAGAAAGAGTAATCAAGTAAGAGGTCTGGAAAAGTAGGAGGTTGGTCTCAGCAAGTGGAGTGTTTGAATTTAAGATTTAGGGTAGAGCTGTTCTGAGTGATGACCCCCAGTCTAAGGTGTGACTTTGGAGCAGAGAGCAGACATGGACTTGAGTTGAGGATCAGGGTACCTCAGGGAAGTGATAGCCTCTCCTTACCCTGTTCTGTAGGTGCCATACCCCACAAAGCTGCAAAGAGGCAGTCCCTAGTACCTCTTCTGAGTGAGCACATTACTTTCCCACCAGCTTACCACATTGCCATTAGAGAGAAGAGACCCTCATAAATTGTTATGGATTGAATTGTGTCCCCCCAAAATAATGTGTTGTAAATTCTGACCTCTATACCTGTTGTTATAATCCCATTTTGGAATGGGTTGTCTTTGTTATGTTAATAAGGCAGGATTAGTGTAGGGTGTGTCTTGAGTCGATCTCTTTTGAGATATAAAAGAGATTAAACAAGCAAGCAAGCAGAGATGGGAGAGGATAGATGCCATGCCACATGAAGATCACCAAGGAGCCAAGGAATAAGGACATGCCCCAAGAGCCAACAGAGAGAAAGCCTTCCCCTACAGCTAGTGCCCTGAATTCAGACTTCTAGCTTCCTAAACTGTGAGAAAATAAATTTCTGTTTGTTAAAGCCACCCATTTGTGGTATTTCTGTTATAGCAGCACTAGATAACTAAGACAGAATTTAGTACCGAGAAGTGGGAGTGCTGCTCTAACAGATACCTAAATTGTGGAAGTGGTTTTGGAATTGGATGATGGGTAGAGGCTGGAAGAATTTTAAGGTGCCTAGATTGCCTTGAAGAGACTGTTAATAGAATTATGGATGTCAAAGGGGACAAAGAAAGAGTGAAAAGAAAGAATGCTGTCTTCCTCTTGGAGTTCTACAGGCAGGAAACAGGCCAAAGGAGCTACATCTGTTGTCCTCCAAGAGAAGAAAAGGACTGTCCCTGGAGCAGCTCAGAGATCATCAGAACTGTTGGGTCTCAAAGGGTGGGGCCACAGCCTCTAGGGTCTCAAACGGTAGAGCCACAGCCTTCTAGATTTCAAAGAGTCAGATCTTCACCAACTCTGTTCCAGAGTGTAGGGCTGCCATTCAGTTTGGCCAAGAGAATACCCAAAGCTGAGGGGGCAGGGCTACCATGCCTAAACGACAGGAGAACAGGGCTTGCTGGGGCTGAGGGGCTCGGGTCACCACTCCAATGGACTAGGAGAAGGGGGTCATCCAAAGCCCAGGGAGCAGAGTTGCTGTCTGAGTGGGCCTGGAAGGTGGGGCTGAAGCCCAGGGCCGAGGGGCTTCCACTGAGAATCTAGAGGGTGTGGCCAACACTCAGAGTCTGGAGGTCAGGGCCATTGCCTAAGTGGTCCCAAAGCGCAGAGGATTTCAAGCCTTGAGAGCTAATGTAAATTGTTCTGCTGGGTTTTGGACTTGCTTGGTCTTCTTTCCCTCCAATTTCTCCCATTTGTAATAGAAATGCCTACCTTATATCTGTTCTACCATTGTACCTTAGAAACAGATAACTTGTAGTCTAGATTGCGCAGATTCACAGATGTAGAGGAATTTTGCCCCAGGATGGAATATGCCAAAAGTCTCACACATATTTGATTTAGATGGTTCAGAAGATGAGATTTTGACTTTTGGGATGTTGTGATACAGTTAATGTGTTTTGCATGCGGCAAGGACACAAATCTTTGGGGCTCAAGGAGTAGAATGTTATGGATTGAATTGTGTCCCCCAAAAATATATGTTGTAAATCCTAACCTCTATGCCTGTGGTTATAATCCCATTTGGGAATGAGTTGTCTTTGTTATGTTAATGAGGCAGGATTAGTGTAGAGTGTGCCTTGAGTCAATCTCTTTTGAGATGTAAAAGAGATGAAAGAAGCAAGCAAGCAAGCAGAGATGGGAGAGGGTAGATGCCATGCCGCATGAAGATCACCAGGAAGCCAAGGAATGAAGACCTTCCCCAAGAGCCCTGGTGGCACAGTGGCTAAGAGCTCTGCTACTAACCAAAAGGTCAGCAGTTCAAATCCACCAGCTGCTCCTTGGAAACCCTGTGGGGCAGTTCTACTCTGTCTTATAGTGTCGCTATGAGTCAGGATCGGCTGGGTGCAATGGGTTTCGGTTTTGGAAAGCCGGCACCCTGAATTCAGACTTCTGGCCTCCTAAACTGTGAGAAAATAAATGTCTGTTTGTTAAGGCCACTCATTTGTGATATTTCTATGATGGCAGTACTAGATAACTAAAACATAAATGTTCCCCATTGCCTAAGAGGGTATTCTCTTTAGGAGTCCTTCGCTTACCTCTGGCTACCATGGTACCATAAAGTGCAAGAAAGAAGTCTTTTGGGACCTCCACACAACCACCTTAAACTGATTAACCAAGGAGACTATCAGAATGAATCCTGTAGTGCCTCATATTCTTGTATTCACCTGACCTACTTTCCCAGGCCTTGCACTCTTCTAAAATCTGTTTTCTTCAAGTTTTGGGATACATAATTTTTAACACAAGTTTCCCTGTATATTCAATTTCTTCTAAACTTTACTTACTACCTGGTTGTCTACTTACAATATCATTCTTCTGCAAACCTCTTGGATAGAGGCTGATTTTTTTAAAATCCTGCTTGGTTCACTGGGATTATTGAATTTGTTGATTCATATCTTTCATCAGTTTTAGAAAATCCGTGCCTATTTTCAAATATTGTTTTTATCCCATTATCTTTTCTTCTGGGACTCCACAAAAATGTTAAAAAGGTTTTTTACTTTGTCCAACATGCCTCTTTTTTTCTGTTCTGTCTGCCCCTCCCCCTTTTCTCTTTTTTTCCCCCTCTGTGCTCAGGTTGCGATATTTTCCATCAACTGTTGTCAACTTTACTAATTCTGTTTTATGCTATGTCCAGTTTGCTGTTAAAAACATAAAATGAGTTCTTAATTTCAGACAGTATATTTTTTAGTTCCAGAATGTCCATTGGATTATTTTTTTAAATAAATGCCAATTATTGAAATTCTGCATCTTTATTTATCCATTTTGCCTATCTTTCCCTCTATTTTCTTTAACATGTTAATTGTTGTTGTCATTTTAAAGTCCCATGTGCTGGGAACCTCATACCACCAAGAAAGCAGCACCGGGAACAGTGTGTCCTTTGAACCCGGGTTTCCTGTGTGGAGAAGCTCCTAGT